TTTCTTTTTTGCATGTTGTCTATCTATCATGCAAAGTAATATTCATTTTAAGATTAAAAATACTTTTATGCATCAGAAAAGTGATATTTCACATGTGAAACCTTTATAATGTCGATATAGTTATCAAACATTTCTTAAGAAAAAAAAAATCTATTTTATCTGATATTTTCAGTAATTAATCTCTGTAATAGTTCAGTACATTTGACCGATTTCACAACCACCAAAAAAAAAAAGGATGAAATAAATACAAATTATGTCTCTTTCATTCTAGAATGAACACAAATTATAGCACGAAAACATAAATGTTTAGACGAAATAGCTTAAATCTCATAACATTATACATTTATATGTATTTATTATTTTTATTATATTGACCTTTCAGCTGTGCCTCGCTAAGAATACAGAAGTTACAATGACACGACTCACATGCACTCATGTTACTGTATCAAATAACATAAAACCTTTGGCTGTGTTTTAGTAGACTGGTATTTTGTAAAATACAGCCACATTTCAATCATTATACATTATATATGTATATAGATTATTGCTATTTTGAAATAAGTTCTTAAACTTTTTTTTAAACATGGAACAGTATCTAAAGAAATAAAGCACGACCTTTGTACTCGGTTGCTGCTTGACGTAGGTTGCTAAGCATTTAAAAAATTTGCACATGGAGGATATGAAACAAAATATTTTTTTTAGGTTTTAGTACATTAATACCACAGAATTCCACTATAATTTATCAAGCTTAGTAACTAAGATGTATTTTAGTATAAAAATATACAAAATTTGGAGCTGACAAAAGATGCACCCTATCTCATTGAAATATTGGTTCAAAAGAAAGAAATGGTGCCAATCCCATTAAAATGGCTGAGAAAGCCACTAGGGGGGATATTCTGAGCTTCTGATCGGTTTTTCTTGTAATATATAGAAGTAAGTGTATATATGGGAGCATTTCCCAAAAATGGAAAGAGGTGGATGGGGTGCCACTGTGTTTGATTTATTACATG